GAGAGAGCCCTTCCTCCATCTTCGTCCATGTGGGTTTCTCTCAGCTCCAATCGAGTTAATCGAGGAACATATTCCAAGTTGTCTGCCAAATCTAAGATCGAGGTCCCGAGTTGATTTCGAGACACAGAAAGAACTTCCAAGCCAGGAACATGACGCAAAGAATCGGCAAGATCTGAGAAGGCTGCGTGTTCCATGAAAATATCTGACAATTCCAAGATAGTCAGCTGCTGCACATGACGAAGATTTGCTGCCAGGCACCTCACGCTACTTCCCAATTGGTTTTCTGACAAGACTAATTCTTGCAAGTTACAAGCGTTCTGTAAGGCGTTTGCTAGCACAGGCAGAGATTTCTCTGTCAAGCATATTTTGTGTAGTTTCAAGCGTGTAAGACACTCTGTCATGTTCATTCCTGACACCACACGTCCTGTCTCTTGAGATACGGAAGATTCTTTAAGGTTTCGTAAAACTATCTCTCTTGGTCTGCTAAGAAGAGGCAAAACATTAGAAATGATGTGAATGACGTCGCCTTCTAAATTCTCAATGTCAATTTTCTTTGCAAGTGAAAAACAGTGCTGACGAGTTTGCCAATCCATCTTGGCTGCCCTGTCACCGACCTTTACATCTTCATGATTTGCACGGGTGTGAGAAAACGTAGCTGGCGCTGGCATCGCAAGCTCCCGTAGCGTTCCGACATCAACGTTGGCAATCTGAGAGAAGTAGAGATACATCTTATCTTCTGAGCGTTTCAATAAGAGAGAGGCCAATATATCAGTTTTTACTTGTCTTCTTACAAAGTCAGAAGCCTTCGTTTCTCCTCTTGAACTTACAATTACCGCGTTAAGATCGTCCATGATGGAGGAAATGTGATCGCGGTCTTTAGGAGAAGGACGCCTGTGAAAATCAAATAGTACACTCTCAGGCAGGACTTCGGACTTCACAAAATTCCCGTTGGCTACATGAGGCAGGAGTGTGTCTGGTATTATCAAAACGCCTGTGAGAGATTTCAACAACGACGGGTACACTTCGCCCTTAAATTGAGAAGGTGTAGTGATAAAACACTCAAGGCTCAACTTTGATAATCTTTTGTCATCACTCGGCAAATCCTTCAAGAATGGTGTTTCTGTTTGAACGTCTTTGGGAGGATTTTGGTTTGTCCTCAAAGATGCCAGATGCTGCTGTACAGCTTTCGACCCTTCCGGTGACCATTCGCAGACAAACTTGAGGACTTCGAGCAAGTCGACAATTTTTCTGGTTGAATTTATGGTGGGTATGCAAGTGACATTGTCTTTAGCGGACGGAAGTATCTTGTGAATAATGAACCAGGCTGCTAAGAATTCTTGAATGGATTTGTGAAGGAAGGCAACCATCTTCTTTGGCTTTGCACTAAAGAGCTTTACAATCTGAATTACGCCAACACGGATCAACTTACTACTCAGAAGCTCGTTAGGAAAATGTTCATAATCAAACTCGAGAGAATTGTTCAGTAAAGCATTAAATGCCAGTTCCCCTACTTGTTCCAGATCGCCACCGTAGCCCTTGATGCTCTTAACTTCTTCATCAGCGTCTTTTGCGGCCATGTGATTTAAAAGGGTTTGAATGAAATCGCTGTAAAGATGCACTTTTGCCTCTGGTAACCCTTCGCGATCTTTCTCCTTCCAGATTAAACAAAGCATCAGCAAAAGCAGGGGAATTTCCGCAATCTCCTTCAGTTTGTGGATCTTAATGTAATCAAGAAACTTCTGAACTTCTTGCTCATCTTCTAAAAACTTCATTGAAAACTCTTTGATCTGGGCATGGTCAAATCCTTTTATCTGAAATTGGGCGCTGCTGTATCGCTTTACATCATCCTCTCTTATTGGCCTCGTTGTCAAAATCACAAAGCAGTCTCGGAGCTCATCCCCCATCCATACGCGGCTAACAACTGGAGTCTCCTCACCTGCACTATACTCGTCAAAACCATCCAAAACCAACAAAACTTTATCTTTGTGCTCAAGAATGTACCTAATGAGAGCGTCGACGAGCTTCTGGTCTTCAGCGGGAAATAGTTTTGCTTCAATTAACATGTTCTGGAAGGTTTTACTGTAGCAGACGTTTCGTAACGGAATCATGAGCAGCAGATCAAACTTCTTTAGGTTTTCCTTTTTACCTCTTGCCCAGTCAATGGCGATTTTTTTGGCAAAGGTGGATTTTCCGATCCCTGGTATACCGTACACAAGGATTCTGTTGCTTTTAAGCTCTTTCAGAATGTCGGAATAATCATCAAGTTTTTCTTGTTTCTTTCCACTTGGCTTCTTTTTGTCCCTGACCCAAAAGAGCTCTGTGTAGATTTCGTCGATTTGTACAGTGTTGTCAGGATCCCAAGGGGTGATTCTGACTTGGCATAAGTTGTTATA